AACTGCGGCTCGCGAGCCACATGCGGCTCTTTGGCCCCTTGAGTGTGGCTCTTCCACAAAATACCACGTGCGGGCGCGCACATACCGTGCGATTGAAACTTCGTGGCCCATGCGCAGAAGTCGGTTTTCGGCCTGGGCGAGTCTATTTTGAAGAAGTGGCGTTAGAAGAAGTGGGGGGTGTCGGTCGGTCGGGCGACAGGAGACGCGGCGCAGTGGAGGCCCCGGCGATTCATGCAGGAGTTGAGTGAGCCCGTCAGTCAGCAGTCTCATTGTGCAGTGGTTAGTGCTAGTCGCGTCCGCAAATCGCGCGTGGGTGACAAAAGATAGACGAAACAAGTATACAAGACGAGTGTGGATGGGAGAGTTGGAAGGGGTCGACCTCAGCGAACGTACCTCAATCAGATTGAGGACGTTTTTAGCAAAGGCCAGCTTAGGAGTACCCTAATTAAGTTAATAACCATGTACCTACCTATATAGTTTAAGTTTAAAAAATTTGGCTCTCAAAAGAAATTTCAGTCGTTGTACTGTTGATATTTGGCTCTGTTGACTAATGAGTTTGCCGACCACTGGCCTAGACTGTATCAGAGTTTGGTAAACTACCACCTCAGGCCAAAGGTGGCCCATGTCTTTTATGTACTAACTAAAATATTACTAAAAATGGTTTTCATATTTTCAAAGGGCTGTTTAAAAACAAACAAACCCTCAAAGGCAGAGTATGAGACATCTATGGTCCACAAAGCATGAACTGTTTACTATCTGGACCCTAAGAGAAAAGCCCCAATCTCTATGACTCTAATGGGAAGAGTTAGGAGATGCATACGCTAGATTCAGCTTTGACTAGGAAAGCTACTGAATGTGCCCCTCTCTGCGGCATAGGAATGGTAAAGCGATACCAAGTACACCGCTCGCCCATATTCCAGCTTGTTTTAAGGACCAAGCGAGATATGTATCAGATGTGCCCAAAATATACGTCAGTGAAAAAAGATACGTCTCCAGACATCATGTTTCTGTGCTATTGTGAGCACCCAAGTATAAAACCAGGGAACATAGTGTAGAAAGAGTTCCCAGACCAAAATAATAATTTTGCTGGCCATGCGACCTTAGGAAAGTTACTAAACCTCCCCGTGCCTCAGTTTCCCCATCTGTAAAATGTGACTGGCAACAGTTCCTATCAAATAGGGTGCCTGGGAAAGTGTTGTAAAAATAATAACAAAATAACTTTCTATTTTTTGAGAGTTCGATATGGTCCAGGCCCTGCAGTCAGCACTTTATTTACATCTTCTATCCTCGCAAACGCCTAGGGAGCAGGTGTTGCTAGTTTCCCCATTTGACAGAGGAGAAAAATGAGGCCCAGAGAAGTTAAGTAATTTTCTCAAGTTCACACATCTAACCATGCAGCGGGCAGAGAAATCGTTTAAACCTCGGGGGTTTGACTCTGGGGCCCGCGCACTGAAATGCACATATTTCCCCACATTCTAGAACCATGTGTTGACTCAGGGCAAGCCCATCTGGAAGACAGCAGGCACGGTTAACTGTGAATGTGCACGGCTTGCTTCCCACACGGGCCAAGCGGGGACTGGTGGGCATGCAGAAAGGGAGGTGGGGAGGGTGCGAGGAAAGAAGCTTTTTGATGAACTGTGAGATCAGAAAGGTCGTGTTGTGAAGACTAATCGGCTCCGTTTTAAGAAATGAATATAATTTAAGTCAGGGTGTCCTGAAGGAGAAAACGGGTGCTGGCAACAGACATCAGCAAAGAGTTGGAGGCAGCTCAGGGGGTTTGACTGAGAGAATGGGGGAGGGAGGAAGGGAGAGGGGGGGAGAGAGGGAGGGAGGGAATGGAAAATTCTATGACAGGGACACTAGGAGCAGTGTCACATGGGATGTTAAATCGGCTGCCATCTGGGGTAAGATCTTATCTGCAAATCCAGGGTAGAGTAGAGGAGCTAAGAGGAAGGTCCCAGGCCCGAGGCCCAAAGGAAGCCACAGAGAGAGACCTGGGCAGAGAAAACAGGCAGAGGGATTTGCAGAAAGGTGGGGTCAGAATCCAAGAGCTAGAAGAACCACAGCTCACAGACAAAGAGCAGTGGGTTCCAGAGAAGGAAAATAGCGTCTCTCGGGTCAGATCAAAGAGAGTCGGAACCAGACTGGCCACACAACTGTCTCAGCCTAGTTGTATGTACTTGGGACTGGCCTGCGTGCCTAGCTTGTGCCCACCCCATTCCCACCTGGGACATGCTCTCCCTCTCCTGGGTGGTCTCAGCAGTGCCTCGTTCCCACCGGTTCTAATCTTTGTGAACATCAGAATCACCAGAAGAGCTTCTTTATTTTTCTTTCTCTTTTTTAATCCTTTAAGTAGATGCATAGGCACTTGGTACAAAATTTAAAAGGTATAAAATGCTCTGAGGAGCAAGACCCCCCTCTGGCCCCTGTTCCCAGTCATCCAGGTCCTTTTCAGAGGCGACCGCTGCGAGGGTTTCTGAAGGGGTGGTGTGCGCACAGACAGCTCAGAGGGTACAAAGGGGTGCATACTCTGCCTCCTGCTCGCTTTAACTTCACAACAAATCTTGGAGACAGTTCCACACCAGTTCACACAGCACTTCTTCAGTCTTTTTGAAAAGACACAGTGTTCATTGTACAGCTGGACCACAGTTTAAAACATCAGACCCTTTTTGGGCATGTGGCTTGTTTCTACACTTTGCTGCATCGCCTATCCTCACGGCCGCTTCATTTCACAGGACTTCGTTTCACATATCACCGTAGAGGAAATTCTTAGAAGAGAAATTACTAGGTCAAAGGGCAACTGGTTTCTGCCAAATTGTACAGATTACCCTCCCTTGGCAAAGTCTGAAAGAACCCTTTTCCCAGTGGGACTCAAACAAAAACACACAGGAGCCCCGGCCCCATCTCAGAATCTGCGGGTGTGGGGCCTGGGCACCTGTGCTGTGGCTCAGAAAGGGGGTCTGAGCTGGCAGCCCCGTTGGGTTCCTGCGGACCTCCAGCCTCTCCCTTCCCGCAGGGATTTGCCGCGGTGAGGCAAGCGTGACCTCCAGGCCCGACAGGCTCAGCGTCTCCCAGGCCTTGGAGCTCAGCATTCGTGTCGGGGTGATGCCAGCACGGGGCTCACGGGGTCCTGTCTGGCAGGTCTCCTGTCCCCCTCGGTCAGAGCCTTCTTCTAGGTCATAGGTCAGTGATGGCGAACCTATGACACGCGTGTCAGAGGTGACACGCAAACTCATTTTTTTGGTTGATTTTTCTTTGTTAAATGGCATTTAAATATATAAAATAAATATCAAAAATATAAATCTTTGTTTTACTATGGTTGCAAATACCAAAAAATTTCTATATGTGACACGGCACCAGAGTTAAGTTAGGGTTTTTCAAAATGCTGACACGCTGAGCTCAAAAGGTTCGCCATCACTGTCATAGGTAGAAGACAGGGTTTTTCCACTGTAATCCAAGTGTCACCCTTGTTAGTTGGGGACTGGAGCACAGGCCTTGCAGGGTTACAACCACGTGGACATCATATGGAGAAGTCCTGGAGTAAAACAGGGGGAAATGGAAATGGTTAGAAGTGGTGCTGTACTGAGTGACTTTTTTTAATATGAAGTCTTTTTACAATATTGACATTAAAGACCAACAAATAAAACTGCCAAGAGCTAGAACCACAACACAACCCATTACCCCGCCAGGGTCCTCTGATGTGGCATTTTTGTGTAATTGTTCTCTGTGACACCCTCACAAGGGTCCAGGGCTGGGAGGCACCCACATGGGAAGTGCAGGCCTGCCCCACCCTCTGCTGTTCTGGGCGAAGCTCTGAGGATACATGACTAGACCAGCTGCCTTGCTGTCACATGTTCCTATCACACTGGGTGGTGGAATCACCTTTATTCTGTAAGAGCTATTGTCATCAACTCTACCCATGGGTGGGACCTCTTAGGCATGGCCCAGGGCCACCTAATATTAATACAATATTAGAGAGAAAGAAAGCGAGGAATAGGGAAGGGTACCCATGTACCCTAATTTAACAAACTCTGAGGTCTTGGTCCACCCCATACTCCCTGCTACCTCTCATGGAGCCTGGCATTCTCACTATTCATGATACTGCCAGCTACATGGGTCTGTCACCTCTTCAAAACAGGCATCAATCATTGATTCATTCAACAAATATTTATTGAGCACCTACGGGTGCCAGGTACAGTTCTAGGTACTGAGAATATAGCTGTGAATAGAGCAGTCAAAAATCACACCTTTAAAGTGTGAACTTAAAATTTTTTTTTTTTGGGGGGTGGGTGACAAACAAACAAAGAATGTATTAGACATTTGTATTTACAATACACATTTGTAGTACATAAGATGAAGATAACTGCTAGAGAGGACAGTACAGCAGGGAGGAGAGTGAAAGGGGCATGTGAAAAATTCAGAGAGGACAGCCAGGGAGACCTCACTGAGAAAGTGACAGCCGAGGAAAGACCTGAAGGGGAGAGAAGGAAAGCCACACAGATATGTGGGGGAGGAGTGTTCTGAGAAGCAGGAACAATAAGCGCAAAGGCCCTGAGGTAGGGCCTTTGATTTCCTGTTACTAGTTTTGTCTCTTGATCTGGATCACAAGCAACTTGAAGGTAGGAAACATGTTCTATCCGTCTCTAGAAATAATTTTGAATATCTTTTGCTCCATACCCATTTGTACTCTTGGATGTTGTATCACTTGTAGGCATTACCTATTGTAAAAAAAAAAATAAAAATTCATTAAGTGTGTGCCTAAGGAGAACACCCAGCATAGAGTTGGACACATAGCAGGTTTCACTAATTATTTGCTGTTTGGATATTTGATAGGCATATGTTTAAAACATCAGGGTCCTTTTTTTTTTTTTTAAGGATTATTAATCCCATAGCTTTACTGGGCGGCTGCTCATTACCATGCCAGGTTTATTGACTACCATCCGAGGGGCCCTTTGTGCCTTTCAGACCAGTTTGAACTGTAGAATTGTTGCCGTAAGCTGGGCCTCAGATTTCCAGTTATGTGAGATGTCGGCACTTGTCACCTTTTTTATTGGCTCCTCAGCTAGAAGAGCAGAATCTGCAGCTTTTGTTGTTGTTTAGGGAAGCACTTCTAAGGCTTTCACACTTGAAAACCCAGGGAGATCACCCACAGTGGTACCTGAAGTGTGGGTGATGGGAGAGAACCGAGTAACAAGACAGGGTTGACAGAATCCTGTCCTCTTGCTGGTTGGCTCACTCGATGCCTCTGTGCCCTCCCACTCGGCTGCACCACAGATGCCAGCGGGAGGTTACACAACACTCAGCCAGCCCTTCAGGAAATGCTTGTGTTTCCGGACCAGCTGAAGAGCACGTTGGATGGCATCTCCCATGTCATAGCTGTAGGGAAATTGTAAGAAAGAAAGGAAAGCCATGGTGAGCATTTACACATCACAACCAGCTGAAATGTGTGTGCTTAGGGGAGGTTCCTAATCAGTTTGGGTGATGAGGTCTCTTTTCTGCAGAGCCGAGGGGGCAGGGACACACACAGCCTAGAGAGCAGCCTGGAAAGGGGACAGTAGGAAAGTGGAAACTGAGGCAGGAGGGAGGGCCAGCCGGGAACGAGAGGCGGGCGTTTTCAGCTGTGCCAGAACACAGGTCAGAACACAGGTTGTTTGCAGCAGACGGGCACGTTTGTTACCAAGTGCGGGTACAGAGAAGTGCTAGCGTTCATTTGGCACTCAGTAGAGAAGCCAGCCGAGGTGTCTTCCTATAGGCAGTGAAGATACATGTGGTAGGAAGGCGCTGGCCCATCTCTGCTCCGAGGGGAAGCATTTTAAAGTGCATGCTGTCTTGTTGCCATGGGGTTGGATACAGGGCTCCAGAGAAGGCAAATTCATATTTTTCAAAATTTGTCTTAGAACGATAGTTGATGTACATCGTGGCTTTAGGCACAGTGAGCCCTCAGTAAATGTTTGCAGTTGAAATGCTACACGGATTCAAAATATGAATTTCAAAACCCACCCCTGCCGGCACCGCCCCTTTCTCTGCATGGTATTTGAAGTACAGCCTGTGCAAGGCCTGCATGGACCAAACCTCTGAGATTTGTTGTTTTTCTTTCTCCTTCCCTCCCACTACACCTGCTCTGGAGCCTCCTACAGACCTCCAGTCACCCCCGGCCGCCTCCCTTCCCCTGGAGCCTAGGTGCCCGGGCCTCATCTCAGCCCATAGGGGAGGCTGATTGTCTTTCTCCTGTTATGTTGATGAAGAGCTCTGTTTCTCCAGGTAAAACCAGGGTCACCTGGGCTGTGGGCTGCATGGCCCGTGGGCTAAAGGCCAGTTTAGCAGACCTTGCTGGTTCAGCCTGCATGTCACAACCCAGTTGGTCAGCTGGCTTCGTGGCAGGCACAGTGCCTGAGGGAAAGCAAATCCTCTAGGCAACCGAAGTGGGAAATGTCACTGTGACCCCTTTTGTCAGTGCTTTTAAACACAGGCTTTTTATTTACTTATTTTATTTATTTATTTATTTATTTATTTATTTATTTATTTATTTTATTGTTAGGCAACAGTCACACAGCAAAGTTTTTTTTTTTTTTTTTTTTTTTTTTTTATTGCTTAAATTATTACAAAGAGTATTACATATGTCTCCTTTTTTTTTTTCCCCGCCCTTGACAATCCCCCGGCTTCCCCTACCCCCCAGTGTCTTATGTCCATTGGTTATGCTTATATGCATGCATACAAGTCCTTTGGTTGATTTCTTACCCCCCCCCTCCAGCCCCCCACCCTCCCCAGCCTTTCTGCTGTAGTTTAACAGTCTGTTTGAGGCAACTCTGCCTCTGTATCTATTATTGTTCAAGAGTTTATAATGGTCTCTATTATCCATGAATGAGTGAGATCATGTGGCCTTTTTCCTTCATTGACTGGCTTATTTCACTTAGCATAATGCTCTCCAGTTCCATCCATGCTGTTGCAAATGGTAAGAGTTCCTTCTTTTTTACAGCAGCATAGTATTCCATCGTGTAGATGTACCACAGTTTTCTAATCCATTCATCTACTGATGGACACTTAGGCTGTTTCCAGATCTTAGCTATGGTGAATTGTGCTGCTATGAACATATGGGTGCATATATCCTTTCTGATTGGTGTTTCTGGTTTCTTGGGATATATTCCTAGAAGTGGGATCACAGGGTCAAATGGGAGTTCCATTTCCAGTTTTTTGAGGAAACTCCATACTGTCTTCCATAGTGGCTGCACCAGTCTGCATTCCCACCAGCAGTGCACGAGTGTTCCTTTTTCTCCACATCCTCTCCAGCACTTGTCGTTTGTTGATTTGTTGATGATGGCCATTCTGACAGGTGTGAGATGGTATCTCATTGTTGTTTTCACACAGCAAAGTTTTAAAAGTTTAAAAGGTAAAAGCTCTCCCTCTCACGTCTCTTCTCAGCTGAGTTCCATCCTCAAAGACCACAGTGTAGCAATGTCCTCTGTTCCCTCCACACGTTTTAAACATTCACAAGCACACACGAAGCGGCCGCACCAGGATTCAGTTCTCTTTCCTCGATCCTTGGCCTTTGATGTTCATGTGTGTCTTCCCCATGTACTACCTGCCACATGACGGTCCAGTCACATTCTTTAAATCGCCTTCCAGATAAAAATATCTTAATAAGCGTGAGTGCCTTTGCCTGGAGGATCAGTAAACAACTGTGTGACTGGGGCTCTGCCAGCACAGTTGGTGTCACACTACTGTTAATCGAAACCATCCCTCCGGCGAGGTCCCTTAAGGTCATAAAGTGGGCACTCCAAAACAGGATCTGTCCTCTTAGGCTGCGGCATGTTTTCTCTTGTTTCAGAAACGACCATGAACCGAAGCATTCCTGTGGAGGTTGACGAATCGGAACCATACCCGAGTCAGCTATTGAACTCCATCCCAGAATATTCCCTGCAAGAGGGATCAGAGCCCCCTGCTCCAAACATAAGGAACATGGCACCCAACGGCTCGTCTGCACCCCAAACCCCTCACCATTCCTCGGAAGACTTTTCTCAGACTCCCCCTCGCCTGCAACTGGTAAACCACCAGCGACCGGTGTCCCGGCAGATCACCTGCCTGCGCGCTAAAGTCCTGGAGGAGAGCGAAGACAGCTTCTGGAGGAGACATCCGGACCCGGGCAAAGATCTGCCCTCGGACTCCTTCGGGGCCAGTGAGCCTAAACCCGAGTCTGTGGTTGGGGCCTTCTCCCCAGAGCATCAGTTTTCATTTAGGGAAAAGCATAATCAATGGCTGGGATCTCCACTCTCAGCAGCTTCTCCTGACACTGGCCATGGCTCAGGCAAATCAGACCAAAATTTACCTAATGCCTTAGCAGACTCCTCAAGCAATAGCCAAGAGATGGTGCAACGGCCCCAGCCCCCCAGGCACCGAGCAGCCCCAGATGTGCCTACCATAGACACGGGGTACAATTCCCAGCCCCAGGATGTCCTGGGCATCAGGCAGCTGGAAAGGCCCCTGCCCCTCACTTCCATGTGCTACCCCCAGGACCTCCCCAGACCTCTCAGGTCCAGGGAGTATCATCCGTTTGAACCTCAGAGGCACCCAGCGTGCGCACAGATGCCGCCTCCCCACCTTTCCCCACGGGCTCAGTGGAACCATCAGTACCATCGTCCTGGAGGTCCCATTCACCAGGTGCCATGTAAGTGAGATTTCCCTCCTCTGGACATTGTGGGCTGGGCAACAAAGTAAACGAGGGCCCCAGGTCAGTGCCTCGTGTCGCAGATCAGCACAGACCGGTCAGGCAGGATGCAGGGAGGGCATTTTGCTTCTCGTAGGGCTTTCTGTGTGTGGTTGGATTTGCAAGAGGCTTTGGAAGAATGCTTTATCTTAGCCCAAAACCTGTCCCACTTGGAACTGGCTTCTCTCGGTACCTTTAAGGACAGAAAAGATTCCTCTGTCTAGTTAATTTAACTGAAACTGGCCTAGAAGCAGGAGTATGAACTAATGGATTTCTACAAAATGTACTTGTTGCCCTGATTCTTGGGCATCTGGATTCTTCCTTCTCTGCATGCTTCCTCCCCATCTTAGATTTGGCAGAAAAAGGGGCCTTTAGTAAAAAAAAAAATCAGAAGGTGCCAGAATGTCATTGAGTCTCTGGATTCATGCCATTACATGAAGATCAAATTGCTCCTGTGATTCTGCTGCTTGAATCCCTTTGGAGACCTGAGCCATCTGCCTCTACCCTGCCTTCCAGCCACACCCCGGACGCAGTCCCCTGACTTGTCTAGCTGTTTCACATCCCAAGTATTTGCCTGTGCTCTTTGCTTTACCTAGGATGTTCTTTCCCTTCTTGTGCATGTGACTCAGCTCTATACCTCTTCTTTTTCTTTAACAGCTTTATTCAGATCTAATTTACATACCGTAAAGTTCACCTTCTTAAGTGTACAATTCAATGAATTTTTTACAGAGTTATACGACCATCACCATATACATCTTTTTTTGTTTGTTTGTGTGTTTGTTTGTTAATCCTTAGCTGAGGATATTTTTTCTATTGATTTTTAGAGAGAGTGGAAGGGCGGGGGAGGAAACAGAGAGAAACATGGATGTCAGAGAATCACATTGATTGGTTGCCTCCAGCACACACCCGGACCAGGGCCGGGGAACCTGCAACCAAGTACATGCCCTTCACCGGAATCAAACCAGAGACCTTTCAGTCCGCGGGCCAACGCTCTATCCACTGAGCCATACCAGCGAGGTCATATACATCTTTTAAGACTTCGCTCAAGTGTTCCCTCTGGAAACCTCCCTAGACCAGTCCCTCCTTCAGGCTCTCTGTTGCCTTCATTTCTGCTTGTCAGGGCCCCAATAACCAGTCTCTCTACCTCTCTTTCCATAATGCAAGCTTTCACACATCAGTAAAAATGTATTTTCAATCTATAATTCCCCAGCATCTAACACAGTGACTAGCATATCCTAGATTCTCAATAAGTTATTTCTGAATAAGTGAACGAGTGAATATGTATCAGTGTGTTAAGCATCTCTGAAAGTGATAAAATCTCGGACTGAAATGGAAGGTTCATCAAAATCTTTGATATTCAATCTCCACCGAGGCCACTGGAAAATAAAGATAGGGCTTTACAGATCAAACACAGGCCTCTGAGATACGATACTTTTCTTAGCAAATAAACACTGTATAAAAAGCAATTCAAGTGATATAAGAAGAGTCTGTCCAAAGGCCTGACACCTAGCTTTAAAATAAATTATAGAAGTAATTACAAATGCTGTAACCAATCAGAGTTTATGTATTATACATGTGCACTTAGTATAAAGGTTCCTAAAGTGAATGGAACAGTACAGCAATTAATGATTTTTTTAAAGGAAGGAAGTAGAGGAATTTAACTTAGGAGAAACAGATGAGAAGGAACATGAGTTTCAGAATAAGGCCAGGAGATGCGAAAACAGCAGGGCTTGCGGAGGAAGAGCCTCTGAGGCCTAAAACAGACCCAGAGGGTTGGATGTTGGGAAGCCACCTGACTGGGAGCCTTGGACACCACTGCCTGCTTTGAGCGCCCAGTAATAGGATGTGTGTGGTGGCTGGGGTTCCTTAAGTAAGAGAAATGAACTTTGACAGGGTCAGGGTTACATTTATTTCTCAGTGATTTCCAGGTTAAAAGGGACTACTTTATGAGAATAATACCACAAACTGATCATAACAGTAATATTCACTCTCAAAATGGAAATATGCCCAAAAGTTCAGTCCATATTTCCATCACCCAAATATAATTCCTCACTGGGTTCTTTGACATATTTACTTCTGTTTCTTTTTTCTTTGTTTACACATTCAATGTAAACTCAAACTAGTTTCCAATGACATTTAGTGCACTACTTTTAAAACGCTGCATAGTATTTCATCTGATGGACCTACCAAATTGTTTTATTCTCCATTGTGGGACATTTTAAATAGTTTCCAGTTTTTTATCCAATAAGCAATGACATGACAAACATGATGTACGTTAAGTTGTTATCTGCATTTCTGATGAATTCCTTAGATCAATGTGTAGATGTGTGAATACATCGTGCAGGGCTTTGGGATACTAAGTCCCAAGCAGTTGCTTTTATCTACTAACAGGATATAATGATAGACCAAGAAAGCATTGATTTATTATCATATGAGGGTTCCAGGAAGATATTCCTATTCGAAAATATTTCTCCTGTTGAAGCCTAAAGTGGCACCATCAGCAATCCAGTCTTTGGAGGTGAGCATTGCCCGCTCTGGGCAGGCTCCTTTCAAACACTTTCAGCCGCCAGTACCTTGTGACCTGACTTCTTTCATCAGGTCCCTTCCCTTTGCTTTCTGCATTGTTTCCTTCTATCGAAGGGGAGGGAGGAAGGGGACACCTAGGATCCTGGGAGTGAAGAGAGGTGATGAAAGGCAGAGAGGAGAGAATTTGGACAGGAAAGGGGAACAATTCACAGAAAATATACAAACGGCCAATAAGCATATGAAACCAAGCTTAACGTTACTAAATTTAAGAAAAGTTTATATGTGCAAAAATTTTAAAGATACCTTTTCCCAAATGAGGTGTACATAGTTCAAAAACCTTGAACACCATCCAGTGTTAGTGGGTTTTGGAGAAGGGAACACTCCCATCTGCTCTGGGTAGGAGTGCGATGGGTACAGTCTCCCAGAAGGCAGTCCCACAAAAGTTAAGTGTGCTTCCTCTTTGGCCCAGCAGTCTCACTGTGGGAACCTACAGAAACACCGAGCGAGCAGGTAAAAATGCGTGCTCAAGGACGGTTGGTAAAGCCTTGTTGCATGAGAGTAAAAATAAAAACGAAAATGCCTATCAATAAGGGGACAGATGAGTAATCTGTGACTAACATACAGTGGACTAGTAGGCTCCTATTACAGAGTAAAATACACATTCTGACATTTAAAAGAAAAGATCAAGTGGAAAAGCATGCAGTGTAGATTCTATACATGTTATTTTAAAAAACTGTGTGTGTTTAAAAACTACATACTAAAAAATCGGGCCCCAACCGTTAACAGTGATCATGGGAGAAGGGGACGGGGAATTACGAAGAAAGGGGGAGATTTTCCTTCTAACTTCGTGTACTTTTGCTACATTTGTTATAGCAAGCAAGTATTACTTTTATAATTAAAAATAAATAAAGGAGAGAAAAAAGAAACGTAAGGGAAAATGAGAGTGTATAGACAGGCCCACCCTGATTCACCCTGCATATGGCTTGGATCATGGGGAATGGGGTCAGGGTTGGGTCCTTTTTGTCAAGGATGCCCAGGGCTTAGGGTTTTTCTGTGGGGCAATGCGAGCCCCGAATATTTTAGGAGACGTCCCCCCGCCCCAATAGCCAAGGCTTCCCGCCAGGTTGCTGTGAGGATTAAATGAGGTAATGTATTAAAGATACTAGGAGAGTGGCTGGCTTATAGTGAGCCCTGAATAACTAGCAGCTCTCAGTTACTGTTATTTAAATTAAAATCCTGCAGCACAGCTCTGCAGAGAGCTCCTCGACTTCCAGATCCCTTTTGCTGGTACAGATTTTAAGTATTCAAAGCATGTGTACAATGCTTAGTTTCATGTCGGGGCTGTAACTGCACTTAATTGCCAACAAAACCACTTCAAAGGAGCTGTTCACCTAAGGGATGCTTGTGCAGTTGGAAACCATGGCTACGTGGTTCTACTCAGCTTTAGAAGAGCATTACTTCCTCATCCGTTAATGAAAATATAAATAAATAATGATCACCACGCAAATGGCATATCTTAGCCTTTGCAAGTTAAAGCAAAAATGGCTACTGGTCTCCCCTTTCATGTTAAGAAAAAAAAAGTTTTCAAAGCAAGTGGAGAAGTGGAAATAAGCCTGTCTCTCCACCCCTCCCCTCCACCCCCCTTTGGAGATGACGGCCCGAGAATCCTTCCAGGGAAGGTCACCAGAATAGAGATCATGACTGCAATTAAATGAAACCCATAATACAAATAAAGTAGAAAAAATAATGTATTAAATCTAAAGAGGCTTTATTTTACTATAAAATTCTTGCTTTCCCTACTAAGGAGACCGAATAAAATAAAACTGTGGACACATGCCTACTATTGCTCATGTGGACCCCCGAAAAGTGATTATTTGCATGTTCGAATGCACGCACAAATACAAGTAAGGAAAAGACAAACCAGATGGAAGAAATGATCAAGAAAGGAGTTGCCCTCCAGGAACCACAGCTGCTTATAGCTGGGAGCGTTCCTGTAACAGTTTATGCTGGCTCTTTTGTTTCCTGGCTAAACTGCATTATATCATGATGTTTTTTGACAACTTGAAAATCAGATTTTATTTTTTCTCTCATAAACTCTTCTAATCCATTCTTAATAAGGAAGAAAAATGTTGAATGTTTTGTCTGATAAGTGGAAAACCTCATTAGGATTTGGCTTAAAAATTCCAAGTGGTAAAAACCCAGGAACGTGAAGACTGTGTGTACTCTGACCAAGAGGGTCATAAGATTGACAAATAACCTACCATTCTGGGCGCTCATTTATGATTGTAAGATTTGTGGTGTGTGTTGTGATTAAGACTGCCTCAGAATCGAGGCGTTGCCATGCTAACAAATCATTTGTCTATCACACCACCCACCACCTTCTATTCTTCATCTCGCACAGAATAAACTCTTGATGAAATTTTAGACTGGGGACAAGTTAGTGGGGGAGATATTTTGGGGCAGTAATTCTTAAGTCTACCATGTAGGTGGCTGCCGACTGGCACGCCTCTCCTCACACACTAACAAGTGTGGGTTTGTGTTTCAAAACAGACACCTACAGACACACAGATTTTCTTTCTCTCTACTTATTTTGAGCTACTTAAGGGAACTGTATCCTATTTATCTGTGTTTACCAAGGGTCTAGCCATAGAAAATCAATAAATATTTGTTGAATGAATACAAAGAAACCTGCTCCCTACTTCCTGGGGAAAGGAGCAAGACCTAAGCATGAGAGAGCTCCTGTGATATCAAGCCTTGAAAAGGCCGCCTCTAATTGTCTCATGGGGGAGGGGCGAATGGAGGGAGGTCCTTGGGATTTGGAATCAGAACTTGTCCATTCACTTATTAATTTATTCAATGAATATTTGCCAAGTACTCCGCTAGGCACTGAGTGTACATTGGTAACTACAACACATGGGCTTGTCTTCCACAGTCTACTGGGGAGATAGAGAAATAGAAATCAGCAAATAAAATAAATGTAAGTGCTATGAGGGAAATAACTAGGTGTTAGAAGAGACATTAATAGACAGGATGGCAAGAATTTTTTTTTGAGAAGGACACATCTGAGTTGAAACCTAAAGGATGAGAAGGTCAAGGAAGTAGGAGCTTGCTAAGGTACCGAAAGCAGGGCTGCAGCGGCATGAGCAGGGAGAGACTTGATATGCTAGACAATGATGGATGCAAGGGCCATCGTAAGGAATTTGGATTTGATTCTAAGTTAAACTTCATTAGGAAAACAGAAAATTGAACTCTATAATCCTGAACAAAGAACTTAGAACAGTGCTTGGCATGTATCAAGTACTCAATAAATGTTAGCCGTTATTATATATATAGTACTCACCTAAACTAGTAAGCCTCTGTCAAAATAGTAAAACAATATTATCAAAATTTGAGCAATGAAAGATATTCATCTATCTACTAAGCATAGTTTTTATTTAGCAACTTTCCTACACAACCAGCCAAATTCCAGACAAAACCAAATTCCACTTACAAGAGGGAAAGCTTGTATTTGCTATTCCCTCTCATATTCAATATTTCTTTGTTTTAAATAATCAAAGGGCAGCATGAAGGACTGTTCTGTCAGTACCCTAATTTAAAAACTAGATGAGGTGGATCATTTTGTCTGCTCACATAAACCAGTTTAAGTTTTTACCGTAGGTGGCCATTTCAGAAATGAAAGTTACAGCTAATCAAACACTTAGCCCACATGCCTTGGTGATTTTAATGATAAGATTTGTTGCTATGAGACAAAAACGTGTTGTGCGGGAAATAATCTGTTAGAGATCATATGACCTGGATTCAAAGGCTTTTGATTAACAGCACTAACATCCGCCTTCTGGAAAAGAAACAAGCCTTATGATTAGAGCTGGGTAGTCCTTTTAAAGCAAATAAAACATTATTAGCTACTTATTAATGGATATTAGAAGCAAACATTATTTCAAATATTAAAAATGTTCAAGCCCACTAACAAAGTTTCTCTTCTTTTTGTTTTTAATATTTTTATTGACTTCAGAGAGAAAGGGAGAGGGAGAGAGAGACAGAAACATTGATGATGAGAGAGAATCATTGATCGGCTGCCTCCTGCGCACCCCACACTGGGGATCGAGCTCACAACCCGGGCATGTGCCCTGACTAGGAAATCGAACAGCTTAACCACTGATCCACGCCAGCCAGGCAATTTTTCTTTTTTTACCTTGTCTTTCTTCTTCCTACTTTCAGAGAGAGACACCAAAAAAAAAGACAGCTAATGAGAGTGATCTAGATCAGTGGTCACCAATCTTTTGGACCTCATGGACCACCAGTGGTCCGCAGACCACCAGTTGGCGACCGCTGATCTAGATTACCCAAGACCTAGCAGGCAGAGGGTGAATGGCTTCTCTTTCAGTGTGTGTGTGTGTGTGTGTGTGTGTGTGTGTGGAGTTGGCTTTGTAACTGCTTAGTCTTCATTCATTCATTTATTGAGCATCTCCTGGTGCCAGCACTGTGCTTGGAGACGTGATGGCAAACAGACACAGTCCATGCTTTCACAGGATGCTAGGAGGGAAGGCAGACAAGAAGTTGACAACAATCATGCTTACTTACACAAACACATGCTAAGTGCTATGGAGAAAGTAAAATGGGTGGGGGTAGGGTAGGGTAGGGCAACTGGGTGAAGGGGTGATATCCGAGCCTCTGAGCCCTGAATAGCAAGAAGTTGATCTGTAAAGATACAAGGCAAAAACATTCTGGGCAGAGAGGATGCCAACTCAAGGGCCAAAGGTGGGGACAAGCTTGGGGTGTTTAAGATGAAGAATGATGGCCATGATGGTAGTTGGGGCTTGGTGAGCATGTGAGAGCATCAGAGGAGATAAGACCTAGAAGGACGGGGATCGGATCGTGCGGGGTGGATTTTAAGTGCAATGGGATCTCTGGACAGCCTGGTTGTACCTACAGCTGGTTTTGTAAATGGTTCATTCTTGCCAGATTCATCTACAAGCAGGGCAGGCTTCTGCCTGGTGGCCTGATGGCAGGGATGCTTTCTCTAGCTGGGGAAAGGAGCAGCAGTCGTGACCTCCCTGTTGGCCTAAAACTCCAATTGGCCATCTGGACCCCTGGAATATATCTGACCTGCCCAGGGAAGCTGTAAAAGCAAAACCTGCCTAGTGTATCTTGTCCTAGAACACAGGGGTCTCTGTAGTCCCATCTCCCCATTCTTAGAGATGCTCTCAAATCATGGTCTCCTTTATCAGCTGGAGGCTGGGATAGACCCTTTAATCCTATTCCTCTTTCTTAAGCCCCTAACGTCATGACCAGTCCTAAACAATTGTAGGGCAAAGGCTACAGTCAGGGCCAGGAGACAACCTGGGTTGGAGGAGAATAGTCACTTTTGCCAGAGGACACATGACAGGAAGGACCTGCTAGTGTCAGGTCAAAGCAGACAATAGATTGAATCCAGGGAATCTGACCACAAGTGACTGGCTTGGGCACATTTCCAGGGCCACACAGGCAAGTTTGCTGCATCCAGACAGCGGAGACCTGAAGGGAGCCACACTAGTGAACACACAGGTTGTTTGTCTTCTTTTCCGTATTTGAGGGCATTATTCCCCTGGATGTTCCCCTGGAAACTTGAATGGCGTCTGACTACCTACTGAACTAAGAATTCAATCATTAGCCATATTCTCACCCTCTACATTCTGGTTCCAACCTACCTTGTCTGTTACTGTATTGCTTGCTTGCAAATTTGATTTCACTTGACATCCCTGCCTGTATCCTACCGACAGTGGGAAAACTCGATTATTACTTTTATTATCAGAAAATGAATAAAGATATATATTCATATATTCTGAGAAACAGGTTCCTTCTTACCCTAACTTGCTATGCCTCCTAGATATCCAACTTCTTATGAGGGCAGAGGTCGCAATGCTTGGCTCACAGGAGGCGTTCATGGTTAATTTTACAGGGTTACCCATGTAGCTCTCTCCAGTCTCCTCAGAGGCTGGGCATATCCTCCTCTCAGATTTCCCACACTTGAGCCCCTTTGGGCCTGGGCAGTTCCCTCAGAGCTTTCCTCTCTCACCTGTACTGGGTTCCCTGCATCCCTCTTCTGGCCTTCCGTGCTCTTCTCCCACCTGGACAAGCTGCCCTTCTTCCCTTGAGACTTGCTGCTCCTAGGCTGGGCTGGGACCAACTTTCTCCGAGGTTACACATTCACATAAGGCACTGCCAGCCCTGGCTGTGCTGAGCCCTGCCCTCTTCTAACCGCCCTGGCCTCAAGTGCACGTAGGCTTTAGCACGAAACGACCAAGAAAGTTGGGTGGTATTGCCAACTGGTTGGCTGCTTCCCAGAGATATGAGCCAAGTTTTCATTCATTTATTTCTTGGTAAGAGAAAGTGGTGTGTGTGTGTGTGTGTGTGTGTGTGTGTGTGTGTGTGTGTGTCCGTGTTCACTTGGGGAAAGAAAAGGAAAGAGCAGTGATTCTTTATCTATTATGGGGACAATTTCTCCTGGCTCTGGGTTCTGGTGATGTGGGGGAGGTTTTTCATGGTTGGATTATCCTAAGTAACTTATTAAAATGGGGGCCTGGATGGTGCTTTGCATTTTCCAACTAGAGCACCAGACTCATGATTTCACAGATGTTTTTATTTTGGAAAACAAAACCACAACGACTCAATTTAATGAAAACTATCGAGTAAATGATTGTGCAGAAATATGACAAACATTACAGAGGTGGTAACTGATATCTGGAACCCTCAGTTGGTATCAAGACAAAAAATTGCACTGAGCTTACCTCTCCTTTCACACGAAGGGACTAGAGTCAGTCTTCCTTGTTCGCTTGGCTGTCTTCTCCTACAGATGGCCAGGACTACCCTCGAGCAGCCTACCAGCAAGTGATCCAACCGGCTCTACCTGGACAGCCCCTACCTGGAGCCAGCGTGCGAGGCCCACACCCTGTGCAGAAGATCATTCTGAATTATCCCAGCCCCTGGGACCAAGAAGAGAGGCCCGCACAAAGAGACCATTCCTCCCCAGGGCTCCTGAGATATCAGTGAGTATTACAGAACCAACTAAAAAAAATGCTGTCAATGCAATCGAGAGCATAAAACTCTGTTGGTTTACTACCCAGGTTAGTGGCCAAGCCACACAGTGGAACGCCCCACACAGACTTTTCAGGTCAGAAGGAAGCGGAAGCTGGTTGACAAGAATCTCTTTACCAGACATATAAAGCCACTGATGACTGTTCAAAATTTCTTGAAAGAAAGTCTCCTAAGATGCTAACTAAGATGCTAAGTCACACTTGCTTCTTTTACCTTCAGTTCAAATAATAGTATTAAGTAAAATGTAAAATGTAGCTTTTACAGAAGAAATATCTAAAATTCTAAGGAAAACAAAATTTAAGCATCTTTATGAAACATATTTGGTGTTGATTAGGGGAAGAATAATAATTTCTAAAATAAACATTTATTTTGAAATAATTTTAGATTTATAGAAGAATTGCACATATAGCACAGAGTAATTGCTTTTCTAACATCAATTTAAGCCTGCTATGGTCTCGTTCGATTTATTTGATCATTTTAGGGCAGCAGTTTTCAACCAGTGTGCCGCAAGAGTTTTTAAAACATGCACAACCTGACTATTTACAGGGGCACAGACTTCTTTTCCTTTAGATTGTCAAATAAACCAACAACAGGCAACACAATAATAGCTGTCCAGTGTGAATGAATCAAAATTATACAATTTTTTGTCAGATCGCGGCAGAATTTTAGTAATTAGTTTATGTGTGCCATGAGATGAAAAAGATTTTTTTAAAATATATTTTATTGATTTTTTACAGAGAGGAAGGGAGAGGGATAGAGAGTTAGAAACATCGATGGGAGAGAAACATTGATCAGCTGCCTCCTGCACACCCCCGACTGGGGATGTGCCCGCAACCAAGGTACATGCCCTTGACTGGAATCGAACCTGGGACCTTCCAGTCTGCAGGCTGACGCTCTATCCACTGAGCCAAACCAGTTAGGGCGAGATGAAAAAGATTTAACGTTGCTGTTCTGGGGTCATGGAGCATAAGCCTAGGTAATGAAGCTAATTCTCCTCTTCCTGATAATTTGAAAGAGAACATTAATACAGAACGTTTACTCTGTCATTATTCTTCATGATTTTGTTTTTTCATTGAAGTTTTTTTAATATTATCAAGGCCTTAAGATTTCTTTATTAGATGAGCATTTGTCTTTTATAACAACCAAACAACTTTGGGCATAAAGTTATTTAATGCAAAAGGGATATGGAATTAGATTCCCATTAGATGAAGGCATATTTTATAAGAATTTTTCTCTGGATGAATAAAAACAACTTCCTCAAATATTCATATTTTAGAAATATAGTATAGTTTGGATTCTGTGTCATTTTCTTTAAAATCCTATTGTATAAAGTTTCTTGCATATTTTACTCTTTTAGGTAAAAATATGAAAACATAAGCAATAAGCCATATAAAAAATGGCATATACACATAGATTTTGTAATCAAAACAAAACATTTTTAAAATTTTAAAATAATCTCAAACACAAAACAAATAGAAACATATATGTTCCCACTACCTCGATTTTTAAATGTTAACATTTGAATCAGAGCTTTTTTAAAGGGAAAAAACTTAGTCCCCATATCAGTTAGGATTCAGTTACAGAAAACAACTCTAGCAATTTTAAGCAGAAGGGCTTTACCTTGGGGACTGGGTGCTTACAACATTATTGGGTTGAAGGAGCAAACTTTAGGCTGGGCTTCCAGGAATGATCCCAGAGCAACACCGCAGACCAGGACACCAAAGGGGCTGCTTCCAGTGTGAGGGTCAGAGAGGCAGAGAACCAGACCGTCGCTATGGAGCTCCCCACTCATGGCCACACTGCATAGTACAATCCAGAACCAGGTAGCCGCCAGCACTGCAGCTACTGATGCGTTCAGTGCCCGCTAGATCTGCACTGGCCACACCGGAGGCCCATGCCCTGGCCTTGACACTGCAGAGCACAAGCCACAGGAGTATAGCAGAAGCACAGCCTGCATTTCCTCTGCTTCCAAATCTCACATGAGTGTGTCTCATGGTTCTTCTCAGCAGAATGTTGGTGGGAATATTGGCAACCAAAACCAAGTGGTAGAAACTTTCTGAAAGGATCTTCAGGATCAGATTTTCATTCCTATGTTAACAACATTAATACTTTTAAAGCTACATGGCCTTTTCTACTTTTTGATACGTAATCAGATGTTATCTATCATGAGCTAAAAGTCCTTTTTATCAGAATGCCTGTAACACCAACCTTGCACCACCATTATATTATGTTTTACTGGTGACCTCCTCAGCCCTGTGCATGAGACTCATCTTCCCAATTAGACAGTCCTTGAATCGAGAAATCAAATTCTGCTTCTCTTATGCGACTCCTAGCACAGGCCCTTACAAATGGTAACCTGCCCTATAGCTTATTGACCGAAACTTCATGAGCAACCCTTGTCCCTCTGGCTCAGAAAAGAACTGGAAGCAGAGGAGAAAGATAGCTCACTGGTATCTTCCCATAGTTCTTAAAGCCTTCCTGTTCCTCAAGGTGCACCTTTGTTGAAAATGAAAATTTTATTGTTGTACATGTATTCCTTTCCAGGGACCAGCCGTATAACCAGCCACCGAAACGAGCTGGAGCTCCTGAGGAGTCCTTGGAGTGTCCTGCCGAACTGAGACCACAGGGTCCCCAGGCTCCGTCTCCAGCTGTTGTCCCTAGACCCCCTAGTAACCCTCCAGCCAGAGGAACTCTGAAAATAAGCAATTTACCAGAAGAATTACGTAAGTAGTTTGCAATGGTTTCTCCTCCTCCTCCTCTCCCTCCTCCTCCTCCTTCTCTGGTCTTATACTTTGAGAGTATTTCATGATTATTCATCCATTATCTTGGATATTTTTCAAGTAAATAAAATTTACTTTTTTGCTTTTTGCTAAGAAAGTGACCAGCATTTTGTATGTGTGTGTTTGGTGATTCCCACACTAGCAGAGGTACTCATAAAGTGCTTATCACTAGGTTTTCTTAACCATTCACTCCAACAACAAATAACCCTGATGCTTTTTCCTTCTTCTAAATGATGCTCTTGAGGGGACTTGTCCCTGAGTAAGTTGATTGGATGCCCACGTGGTATTGGCCAGGAACCTAACTTCTCACCATAAATTAGCAGCAGCCATCAAGAACGAGGTCGTTTCCTGTAGGAATGAGCAGTCTTATTGGGAAAAAAGCAGTCTCACATTCTCCATGCTGCCTTACAACCAAATGCAAACTAAGCCTTTTTTTTAAAAAGAAATATTTGACTACGTGTCAGGTGATAATTCTTTTTCCACATTTCGCAGTCAGAAACAAAAATGTTGAAATATCACCAAAATGTCCTCATATTAAGGTCAGTCAGGACAGTAAGTTCCACGAATCTTAGGAAAACAGCCACTATTTGTGAAATTGTTATATCCTGCTGTGCTTGCTAAGGAAGCTCAGGTAATTCTAGGAAGTCCTGTCTAAATCTAGGCACTTCTTTGAACCAAGCTTGAAAATTAAGCCTTTTGCATTGGTACTAATTCCTATTGGGGATCTATGCTCTTTAGTCCTTTAGAAGTTGAACGATCTCTAATACAATGATCCAGTGTTGTTTTTCATTCAAAAAAAACATGTTTAATCTCCTTAAAGTCTTACATTATAATTTTGAGCATTTCTGGAGCATGGATGCTACCCTGCATAGGATATAAGCCTGGTGTCAGTCTGTAGATCATATTTGTTTTACCATAATTCATAAAGCGAGTCCTAAAATTATTACATAGGAATTTGTTGAATATAAAGTGTTGAGAAGAAAAGAAATTGAGTGCCATCAATATACCTGGCTGCTTAAAAGAGCCAATATGACCATTGTACACACTTCCATTTGAGAGGCGGGTTTCAGAAAACAAGAGCCTAAGCATAGATTAATATAAAAGACTCATATTTTGTCTCCAGCTCCACTTTCTTCTCCACCCTCTGCCCCAGGGGCTTCCTGAGATATAGCGGGTTCATTCCAGACTAGAAACCAACACAGAGAGATTGTTCATCTCTCATATTAACACGCTAGCCAGATAATTTCCCCAAGGCGTAAGCCTGAGAAAACACTGGTTCTCACGCTGCCTGGGTCAAATGTGTAGGCACAATACCGTCTGCCGCCCTAGGCTGACCTAGGGAGGCGCGAGGGAGGCCGAGAGCTGGACCGCCTAGAGGCAGTGACTCTCCTTCAAGCTACTGAGATTTTACTAACATTTCTGAGTTGTGCTTTAGTCTACTCCAACTTCCTGGCCTTTCGCCCACCACTGAGTGGATGGGGAGGAAGGAGGGAGGGGGAACATTTTCCCTCTCCCTTCACTTGCTCTTGTCAAGCAAGCGTTCAAGGCAGCAGAGAGCATCACAAGATCAAAGGAGGACACCACAGGGTGGCCCCATAGCAAGACTCAGCTTCTTGGCCTGCTGTGAGAGCATTCCTTAGGCACAGTGCCAAGTGTCTCTAAGAAACCAGGTGGTGTCCTGATTTTAAGGACATGCAGGTTCTGGGTGACGGATTTTCTGTTAATGCATCATGTGGTTTTTCAGAAGACCTCCTCGGCTTGGCTCAGCCTGCCCACGCTCTCCCCTGTGCCTCTGCTTTCCATGCACCATGAGCAGTCTGCACGCCCTGGGACAGACCCCCTGCTCCTTTGGGCCTGCGATCTATGTCCTGAGGACAGCAGTCCACACTGCTGCAGGCATAGACCCTTAGGCCAACCCCCACCCAGAGGTTTCCCTTTATTATTCTAGAAGAACAAAAGACATTGCATACAATTTACATGTATTGTTCAAAATATACATATTATTTGACTAGTTTGTAATAAATGTGAACAATCTCTCTTAGGGAAAGTCTTTATCACTTATTCTGTGGACACAGCCATGGAGGTGGTGAAATTCGTGAACTTTTTGCTGGTAAATGGCTTTCAAACTGCAGTAAGTATTGTATCCAAAGAGGAGACTGAAACCATTAAAGTGAGTACAGGAAAAGAAAAAGCACAAAAGGAGACAAATGATAAATAGCTGCCGATGTTTTAAACTAAATGATTTGATTTACATGATTATGAACTAAATGCTTATGAATTTAGGTAATTATTTTCTGGATTTTAAAGTCTCCAGCATGTTTTCCCTGCGAGAACCTCTGAGCAGCCCGAAGGGTGTTAATGCCGAGCCCAGACGCGGCTGACCCCTGGCCTGAAGGAAACGCCAGCCTCTTGCTGCACTTTGTCCCTTTGCCCTCTTTCACCCGCTTCGGTTGTGCTTCCTGTTGCAGGAGGCGGCAGGCTTCCCCCGCTTACTTTACAGGGTCCTTTGTTGTGCTGGGGGGTTTGAGGCAGAAGCCTGCAGCCTGGGCCCCCGCCGTGCACAGCTGCCATCCCACACCCGATGCAGCGGCGATGCTTCCACCGCAGGGCCAGGCTCTCGGCTGGTCTGGTTCTAAGGGAGGGAGACAACCCAGCCCTGCGGTCCACTGTGATCTTGGCCCGAGAAATCTCAGGAAGCACACGCTCCTCAAGTCCCCCTGTAGTGCCTTGCCACCGCTTCAAGCCATGGAAGCTTTTCTTGACAGTAAATAAAACATCACAGGAGCCTACGTGGAAGGCTGGCTTTCCTCAAACACTGAGGCCACTTCTTTTCCTCCCCGAGGCCTGCTCTGGGTATGCAGTGACAGTGAATTCTGGAGCATGGCAAAAAACTAAGGGGAATGTCTAAGGCTAGGAAGGTTGATGGATAAGGAGGGAACACTTAGTAAATAAAAATGTCCATTTGCAAGATTATCTGACATCATTTAACAAGGGTTTTTACTTGAATTTTTTCTCTATTCTATGATTTTTTTAAAAAATACAAGTGTTTGAAAGTTTAAAAAAAGCATACAATTTATACACTCCAACTTCATGACTATATTAGAGACCAACATTTCAATTTCTCATTTCTGGAATAAGCAAGTGCTGTGGCAACCGTGACATAAAGTCAAATTACAGGACATAAGGCCAACATGTCAGAAAAGGTCTTACTTTTGGTCATTTCCAAATAAGCATACGGATTGCCCTGGGAGAAGAGGACAGGTTTTTATGACCTAAACAACCAGAGGCTGCTGAGGCAGAATTCAGATCTCTCCTTGACCTCACCTCTGCGAAGCCCTGTGGTAGAGTCATGAGCCCAGTCCTGGCGGCTCACTACTAGACTGATGCACTAAGACCTCCTCAGTGGTGAGAAAACTTCATGGGTAATTTAAGGAGAGTTTTTTAAAGGGACTCTTTTGGGAATATCCTGGGACAGCAAAAGCAGGGACTTGCTACCACCCCTAGGTCTAAAGAGGCAAGGAGCAGTGGTTATGGCAACCTGAGCAAGGGTGGCTGTAGTGGTTTGCTAGGGCTGCTTTAGGGAAAGTGCCACAGACTGGGAGGCTTAAACAGCAGAAATTTACTTCCTCACAGTTCTGGAGGCTAGAAGTTCAAGCTCAAGGCGTCAGCGGGATTGATTTCATGCTGAGGCTTCTTCCTTGGCCTGTCTTCTTCTGTCTTTCTCTGTGTCCTATTCTCCTCCGGTAAGGACGCCAGTCATATTGGACCAAAGACCACCCATGTGACCTCATTTACCTTGATTACCTCTTTAAAACCCCTATCTCCAAACACATTCACATTCCGAGGCACTGGGGGTTAAGACTTCAACATGATCTCGGGGGGAGAGGGTACAATTTGGCCCATAACAGCGGCCATGTGGAAAAGTTGGCCTGACAGAGCTGTGGACTTTGGCAGAGATCTGGAGAGACAAATGGAAGATAGCCAGTACATTGTGCCTCCTGGAATGTCCAGCTCACAGCAGGGAATAATTTAGGTGCTGGGATAATCATTATCATCACTTATTGAGTATTTACATCACACCTGGCACTATGATATGCCTTTTCCATGTTAACTCATTTTAATCCTCACAACCACCCTAGGAAGTACATTTATTAACCACCTATTACAAATGAAGGTAATAAAACTTAGAGAATTTTACTAATGTTTCCAAACTCATGCAAGTGGGAAGTGCAGAAGCCAATCATAGAACCAAGAGTGGAGCCAAGTTGTCCGTCTATTCTCAGCCCCAACATTATGGGGCTTCTGTCCTGTAGAACAGAAATGGATTGCTGACACAGTAACAGAGAGTCACAAAAGCTTTCTCAAGATTACTTAATGTAAGTCATTGGACAGCAGACATTTTAAAGCAGCAAATGGTCATTTTTAATGTGCCATCAGTAAAGAAACATATTCTGAGCTCGCATTATGTACCATATGTATCTGCCAGTTTGGTGAACATGAAGCATTATCTCGTTCTAGGAAGCTTGGGACCAGGTTGAAGAAATAAATGAGACATTTAGTAAATGAAAGAATGTTACGATAATGTGTGTGTCACAATGGGGTAGAGTTTGGTGAGGTGAGAAGGAGGAAGTCAGTGTGTGGGGAGGACTCAGAGAGCAGGGAGGACTCAGAGAGCAGGGGGCTAGCACTGTGCTTTTCGGTACAGTGCCAGGGCAGGGCACTTGGGGAGGAGAGAGGTGAGACGAGATTGTAGATGCCATGGACAGCTTGCTGACCCCATCCGTCCTAAATAGTGGAATGACATTTAAGACAACTGATCTGGGAGCAAGTGGTGTGGCTGAATCAACTAACACCTCCTCAGGACACTGGACCTGAGTCACCCATTCCAGCACATAATCCTCCTTCCAATCAAGAGCACCTTGTACACACTCCCTACCCTCTGGCTGCAGGACAGGTCTGAGCCCAAGAACGGCCTGACATTCAGGCTACGGTAAAACAGAAGACAACTAACTTTTCTCCCCTTCCAATACTCCTTCAGAGACTTTATATGTCTTTTCAAGGCCCAAGAGGTCTACTTCTTGATTTTCATCATAAACCGTTTCCCACCATCTTAGTAATTGTTTTTGTGACTATTCCTTGGATTTGATCCAAGTTTCATGCAATCATTTTTAAACATATAGATTGAAACTGGACATAATACAGTAATGATGACCTGGCTAATGCAAGTAAAGCACCACATTTATATCTCAATACTTGCACACCATGTAGCCATTAAAATGTTCCAGAATCATGTTTTCCTTTCAAATATATATATATATATATATGGTTTGTGTGTTACTGGCTTACATCCAACTTGTTGCCCATGTCTCTCAGGTTTTTAAAACATAATTATTGTGTAGGCAAAGACACATTTTGATGCATGCCTGTATATCCTAATTATGGGTATTAAATAGTTCAATGCCTACTAATGTTGAAATAGGGAACATTTTTAAATTGTATTTTCTTTAGACTTACATGTTCCTCCTTGCAAAAAGCATGAGTAACTTTTTCTATTTTAAATGCATATAGTCTCGTGTTTTCTCTTGCTGTGCATCTAGATAAAGCTTCTCATTAAGAGCTGCTTCCCACATCTTTCCTTGCAGATTGACATTTTTGAGGATAGAATCCGAGGCATTGATATCATTAAGTGGATGGAACGCTACCTTAGAGATGTAAGTACATTTCAAAATCCTGAGTTTATTTTCTGGTGAGAAAGACAATTAGCTTGTGAAGTTATTTTATGAAAGAAGCTCTGGCACACCCACCAAGTCCAAAGCCGAGAAAGTCCCAACAAAGCCTCCCTTGTTGGCAGCCGTGCAAAGACTTGGAGAGGAAGGATGGGGTCGCCCTCCTGGACAGGCACAGGCAGGAAATAACAGTCCAACCAGACACAGGTGGTTGATAACAATCAGAACAAACAATTTTCTGACCAGAAGAGGGAAGGAGGAAATGAAGGCGGGAGTGGGGAGGGAGAGGCAGAATTCAATTTAATCCAAGACCACCCCAAGTGTTGTGTAGGGCTGGGCTGAAGAGCTTTCCCGGCACTTTGTGCTTCAACAAGATAGAAATTGATTGCTGCCAGCATGTCCCTGTGGGCGCTTTAGCTGCTGCTTTGGGGGAGAGAGCGGGTGGGGAGGTCTCAGCAGGCTGGAGCTTTGGGCTTTTCCTTTTGTGTGCAGCCTGGCATCTGCTTTGTGTGGAAAGTCTGGTCCTCCTGCTCACGGGCCCTGCCACCAGCAGGGCAGTCAGGGCGCAGTCACTGGCAGCTTCGATCGGCTGCGGGAGGGAGGGCGTTTCATCGTTGGGGCTGCAGAGTCTTTCCACCAAGATGCAGATCACTTAGTGGTTGGGGCTTTCATTAGCCCTGGGTTAGTGATGGCTGTGGAAAATGGTGGGCAAAACCGCATCCATTTAGGAGAGCTCCACGCAGAGCCACTTGCTCTGGGTGTGTTCAGGGAGCCGGGCGGGAGGCAGAGGGGAGCAGGGAGACAGCCGTCTGCCTGAGCGAGGCCAGTGCTTTCACGGAGAATGAGCCCAGCCCTCCACCCCCACTGTGTCAGACAATGCACACAGCCCTGCTGGCCGGGTTCCAGCCTGCCTTCACCAAATGGACCGCACGTTACACTTTCATAAACATGCTTTCTCCCTCTCATTAACAGAAGACAGTGATGATAATCGTAGCAATCAGCCCCAAATACAAACAGGATGTGGAAGGCGCTGAGTCGCAGCTGGACGAGGATGAGCACGGCTTACATACTAAGTACATCCATCGCATGGTGAGTGGTGACGGCCCACAGCACCTCGCCAGTGCTGGAGACGGGCTCTTTCTTCTGTGAAGGCCTGTCCCCCACTAGAGACCAAGCGAAGGCATGATGCCGGTGAAGAAGCCCAGGCAGGAGAGTGGGGGGCTGCTACCTTTGGGGCCTTGGGCAGTTCAGCACTCCTCTGAGACTCAGTGCTCTTGTCAGTAACAAGGGCAGAGGGATCCGTGATCTAAGTTCCACGATTCTGGAATCAGAGCTCTGCTGGTTTGATTGTTTACCAAGTGTGAAGGCCCAGGACAGTGGTCGGCAAACTCATTAGTCAGCAGAGCCAAATATCAACAGTACAACGATTGAAATTTCTTTTGAGAGCCAAATATTTTAAACTTAAACTATATAGGTAGGTACATTGTTATTAACTTAATTAGGGTGCTCCTAAGGCTTAGGAAGAGCCACACTCAAGGGGCCAAAGAGCCGCACGTGGCTCGCGAGCCAAAGCTTGCCGACCACGGGCCTAGGAGGATCGACAGGCGGGCAGTGAGGGGCGGGGCTCCTGTGGGGTGTCATATCCTGTCCCCCTCCTTTTCACAGAGGCAGAGTAGCCTGGTGAAAAGGACTCGTGCGGTTGGTTCAAAATCAGCTTCCTCACGTGTAGGTTGTGTGACCATGGGCCAAGTGCTCAAACCTCTCTGTGCCTCCATGTCTCCATTCTTCATCGCTCATGAACTATGGGGTCTGGTCAAACCAAAACCAGGGGGAGACATTTATAGGGAGTTAACTTACTCAGCATCTGATGGAACGTTCTGACGGAAAATAACACCCAGCTTTAGAACTGGCTGTTTTACGGGCAAGCAGTCTCCCTGCTTTCAGCAGTTACAGAGATACTGTGCAGACAGTCACGCTTGACCAGGATGTCAGATGCTCCCATAGTCCCTACTGCGTGCTCATATGTGCTGGGGGTGTGGGTGTTCTGGGCCTCTATCCCCACCTCAGACACAGCTTGTCTGCCTTTCTCCGGCTTGTTTGTTTACCAAAGATTCTGAGTTTGAAAAAGGCTTGAAGATCACTGGACTAGAACCTGTAAGCCCCATCTCAGTCCTAACATTCCCCAGGGGGCAAGCACCTGGAATGGGCACTGATGAGGCCAGGAGGATGGGCAGGAAGCAGAAGTGGTCCCGATGGAACGGGTGAGCAGCACAAGGCAGGAGGCAGGCAGGCCGGCAGGGGCCTTGCAGCTTTACCTCTGGGGACACTGACTTAAATCAGGTCTGTCCTGCGGATCAGGAGCACAGGAAAAAGGCAGGGTAGGTGGGTGTTCCCCATCTGGGTCTTCAGGGTCTCTGTCTCCTCTTCTACCAAGTGCCCGCCACATACTTGAGCTCAGAACCAACCCAAAGTAAACACCAAGGCAAGGTGGTGCGGTCACAGAGGAAGGCCGAGGAGTCAGGGGGCACGTCTCCCTCCTGCTCCATTCTCTCCGGGTCTGACAGCCCCCGGGCAGGGCCCAGAGAAGTATCGTTTCTGCCCTGAAAGGTCATGGCTGGCCTGGGAGCTGCCACCCCTTGGCTGTCTGCTGCTACTTGTCTGCGTGGCCTCCAAGCACTCAATGTCCTGTCTGCATCTCTAGGAACTGGGCAGTCCCGAGCGGACAGCTGGTGTGTGGGAAGGGCTCCAGGTCCCGCGAGGTCCCGAGGAAACCTGTGGAGCTCTGCTGGAGTGCTACAGTGCCGGGCAGGAACACAGCTCGGCCCGGAGCTTGTCCGACCGCCCAGCTACGAGCCAGATTATCACACTCAGTGTCTTGGGCAACGATGTCCTGGGCCCTCCCTCATCAAGGAAGGGGCTGCCTTTTGCCCACCTGGCAGCCTTCCTGGTCCCCTCCAGGCAGCGGCAAACTCCCGGACAGAGGGTGTGAAGAGGTGCCCAGGAGGGGCTGAGTCATAGAGCCAGGACTGCACACAAAGCCAGTATCTGGAAATATGGGCAAAAAACATGCACTCCTGCCGGTGGCCCCTCCACAGGCGGAGCAGCCTGGTGAACAAGCTTATAGTGTCCAGTGCCCTGGGAGTCAGGAACGCACCCAGTGCTTAACTCTTATCAAGTAAACTATGCCCTTCCTCTCACGTGTCTGCACTGATGTGGCTGGTGCTTTGAGGGGCGCAGGGCTTCGGTCACTTTAAAACATGCTTTTGGCGTCGTCTGCTTCTCAATGGGAGGTGGTTCTGAGAAAACACCTTGTGGATGCTTTGTGTGTTGTATGATTGGGCGTGTACGCAAATAAGCGTGAGTGTGGACGGGTGTGAGTTTAGGAGGGGTTTCTTTGGTGAATTCAGTAACGAGCCATCGCCACTGGCACGTCCCTCTCGGTTCTGTTTTTATTCCATGCACGACAAAGACTCCTCCGTAATAAAAATCAATTGGAAGATGAAATAGTTGGAACGCATAATTCCTCTTCTCTTTGTCATCAGAAGCCGGCAAACTTGGTGCTGGTCACAGGATTTGGAAGACTCTGACTCCTCTCAGTTTGAAAATTCTGGTTTTGATGGAGCTCTGGCAGCTAAAGCTCCTTGGGCCACTGCAGTGTCAGGACAAATGGGAACTGGTGTGGGCAGCCTAAGGCTTGGAAGTCAGACATCTTCACAGCTGACCCCCCAGCCTGCCTTCCTCACCTCCAAGCCCATTCTGTGCTCTAGCTGCAGGGCATTACCTGCTGGTCCCAACCCACTGACTGCTGCCACACGCTGGGCATTTGCTCAGGCTCTTTTCTATGCTGAGAACGTCCTTCCCCTCTCCCCCTGTCTAACCACATTCTTCTTCCAGCATCCAAATGACACCTCCCTTGTAACTGTCCTTGTAACTGATGTAGAATGGATGGCCCCCATCTGGGGCTTCCACAGCAATTTGTTCACACTTTCCACACTGCACTGTGGTTGGTAATTTACCTTCTGACTGCTCACAAAACTGCTGGCTTTGTGCCGATAGGGTTTGTTTGTATCAGCAGTATTCTGGTAAGCTGGTTCACCCTTAACTCCCCCCACCAAAAAAAAAACACACAAAACCCTGATTCATAGCATCTTCCCATTTCTGTGGTATAACTACTCTCACGATGGCCAATTTCAAGCTACCAATGTGAAGACACTGAACACACAACTGGGAAGAGGCACACATCTGGCTTTTGTGAGCTGACGCCAACCAGCCCAGCAGACCCCAATCCTAATCCTTAAAACAAAGTCTAGCACAGAGCGTGACGCTGATTAGGCCTTCAATAAGTGATTGGTGAATGAGTAAATGGCATAGATGTGTAATGGGGAGAGCTTCAAATTATAAGGGTGAGGCACTCAAGGAAATCAGAATAAAGGCACTGTGGGCTCGTATGATTGTGGGTACTGTACATTAACTCCTCATCCTCGTTCCTGAAATTAAACCTTGAATTTGTTCTCTTCCAGATGCAGATCGAGTTTATAAAACAAGGAAGTATGAATTTCAGATTCATCCCTGTGCTCTTCCCAAATGCTAAGAAGGTAAGCAACAAACAAAAAAACCCTCAGAATTCAAGCTTTGCTTTGTTTGCTATCTGGGATTTTAAGTGGAAAACCTAGTCAATTCTATCACTCCTTAAAGAACAGTGTTAGAAAGATCAGCAAGTTGCACCACTCAGTTCAGCAGCATGAAGAGAGTGTTATCTGATAGACCATCGCTGTCCTAATTGTTTGAACAGCTATTACACACAAAGAGGTAGTTTGTGTTTTAACTTATGAGCCAAAAACAGACTGTTCATCTGATACTTCTTATCTCTTGTACATAAAAGTCAAGATGTGTACTTTTTTTGCTGGCTGTTCCACGGAAGTATTTTGTGGCACACAGTTCAGCTCTCAAAGCTGTAGAATACAGGAATTAAATCTACACAATTATCAAAGTGAACTTTGCTGTGGTTCATAGGAGGGCTTTTGCACCAGAAGGGCTTGCCAGCAGGTTTGGGGGATGGGGGCAAAACACACCCGAGGCCATGACTTGGCAAAGGGAAGGCAGTGAGGTAGTAAAGCCTTGAAAGCGAGACTGCTGCACCCTGAGCTCAGGCCCAGCTGCATTCCTGGATGCCAGGACTGCATTGAGACTTCGGGATGAGGGAGGGCCCAGTTTATGTGAATGGGAACCCAGGGTTGCACAGTTCACAACCTGCACAATAGCCTGCCTTTCCACCCCTTGCCCAGGCTCTCACTGCAAGATCTCCTTACTGGTCTCCCTGTCTCCACTCTGACCCTGTATTAGCCATCCTCTGCTCTGCCATCAAAGAGGGACACCTAGAATGTAGCTCTGATCTCTCTCCAGCTCAAAAGTTTCATAGTGGTTTCCTACAGACTACAAGATCATCTCCACCTTTCTTAGCGTGACATGTGAGGCCCCTTCGACAGGCCTGTGCCCACATGCTCAGCCTTCCCTATCACCATGTGCAGATGATTCTATGCTTTGGTCAAACTGGACTCTTTGAGCATGCCCTCCCACGAACACATGCTTTCATTCTCTGTGCCTTTGCACTTTCTGTTCCCTCTACTAGCAGTGCCCTTCCCTGACTTATCTGTCTAGTGAGCTCCTGCTTATCCTCATGTTACCCAGTCTCTAGCCCAGGGGTGGGCAAACTTTTTGACTCGAGGGCCACAATGGGTTCTTAAACTGGACCGGAGGGCCGGAACAAAAGCATGGATGGAGTGTTTGTGTGAACTAATATAAATTCAAAGTAAACATCATTACATAAAAGGGTACGGTCTTTTTTTTTTTTTTTTTTAGTTTTATTCATTTCAAACTGGCCAGATCCGGCCCACGGGCCGTAGTTTGCCCATGGCTGCTCTAGCCTCTCCTGATCTCTCTTCCCCTGTGCTGACCTTGATTCGTGGTGTGTGGTTGGGGTAAAGGCACTGGGAGTCATTGTTTATAATTACTGGAGCAGGGTGATGGAAAAAGCTGACCAACTTTCAGTTGGTTTTATTAATGTTTTTAAAACTTCTTCAAACAATCCCTTTGTTGCCTGTGCTCAGGGCAGATTGCTCCCACCACCTGACCCCTGGGTATGCCGTTGCCTAGAAAACAGTTTCTTTTTCTTTACACTTTGACTCCCTCATAAGACTATTAACTCTTCAAGGCAGTACCTGTGTCTTTTTCATTTGGGTGTCATCAATACCCGGCATGATGCCTGACACACGGCAGGTGCTGCTTCTCAGCTCATCCTGCCGTCCCCAAAGGCCTGCCATCTCCTCAGAGAAAAACCTGCAAGGCTCTCTGTGACACGGCCCCCTCCACTTCCGGACCCTCACCTACTCTCTCTCACTCGCTCTTCTCTAGCCACACTGGGTTGCTCCTTGAACCAGCCAGGCGCACTCTTCTATCCGCCTGGACTCAGGTCTCTATAAAGCTTTCTCCCTCCGCTCTTTTCTAAACACCCTGTTTAAAACTGCAAACCATTCACCCTGGCCCCAGCGCTGCTTATCCCCTTTCTCTGTTTTATTTTTCTCTACAGCATGTATCCCCATCGAACACACGAGATGTTTTTACTTATTCAATCTCTGTCTTTCCCCAACAGAATGCCCACTCCTTGAGGGTAGTCTGAAACTGCACCCCACTATCCCCAGCTCACAGTTTCTGCCTTTGCCTGCTAATGGAGGTCTGCTGGGATCCTTCTACTGCAGGCTGGACCTGTGGCTGGAGTGAAAGGATAATGAATTAGATTAAGTCTTGGCATACTTCTTACAAAATCACAGGGGAATTCGAATCACTCTGCATGACCTCGGTCCTACCCCTTTTATGTGAGGGTGGTGAAAAGCACATTGAAATGCAAAGGGCAGGTAGCCTGGGAGACTGACAGAAAATGCTGTGCACATGTGGTTTCCATAATGAGATATACAGCTTGCACCCGAAGCCAAGAGCACGTCACATGCTAACCCCTTCCAAAAGCAAAACACTGCAACTCCCAGGATGGCTTGGTAGGAAATGCCCCAGAAGGGAAAGCCGAAGATGTTTGGGAACCGAGCCTGGGATCTGGAATCCAGGTTTTTCTCTAATGGCCTTTGCTCCTGTCATTCTCTCTCCATAGGAGCACGTGCCCACCTGGCTACAGAACACTCACGTCTACAGCTGGCCCAAGAATAAAAAAAACATCCTGCTGCGGCTGCTCCGAGAGGAAGAGTACGTGGCTCCCCCCCGGGGGCCTCTGCCCACGCTTCAGGTGGTGCCCTTGTGACACCCCAGCCGCAGCTCACTGGGGCCGGCCACATCTGGACCCTGTTCTGGCAGGCACTCCTCTAGCTGAGGCTGGCTGGCAGCATTCGCAGCTGTTTGTGTTCAGTCCCTCCCTGAGGGGCCCTCCAACCCCAGAAAACCTGTTTTGCAGCCTATTCTTCCTCCTGAGACCTCCGCAGACCCTGTCTTTGGAATGGAGGCGTGGCTGCTCTGCATTCCCTGCTTCTCATCCCCACTGCCTGTTCCTCCGAACAGTCTGACTCGTCCATTCTGGGCCTCTCACTGCTTAGCAAGGAGCTCATATAAGTGACCACATGTAAATGGCCACAAACACCCTCCCATTGCTTATGGCTACTTTTATGTGTTAGCCAGATGCTTGTGTGGCCTCGGACCAAAAGGATTCATGTACAAATAATAAAACATTTACTCTTTTGTAACATTGTGTTTCCCTTATCTCAAAGATATATAAATGTATAATAATATGGGCAGCTGCTTCAAGGACCATCAATAAAGCTTCTTAGATATAATATTAGACAGATGTAACAGACTATATTAAAAGATTCAAGCCAGATAAACAATCCCTTTAACATAATCGTGAAAACTTTATTCTTGCAGTAGAACTTTTAAACAAAACAACTTTGTACTACACATGACCATGATTCTAAATAGAATCATAGTTCTTAGGGTCTTAATATATATGTAAAAATATTTGTGTGTTATATGAAGTGACAGGGGGTGTACAGTGCAGGCTAGAATTGGGGTTTGGGAGATGTGTTCCGATCTCGGTGCTATCACGAACTAGCTGTGTGACCTTAAGCAAGTCCTTTCACTTTTCAGAAACTCTGGGGACTAGTTTATAAAATGACATGGACCAAAAAGTATTTCTAATGACCCTAAAAGGTTTAAGGTCTAGGACCTAAATTCTAAATACTCTGTTCAAGAATAACTAAGTTTTCATTTTCATAATTATATCTCCCAGGGAATGAAATTACATTTTCTTAACAGAGACATTTTCTTATTTTTTTTAAACAATACCCTCACATTCATAATTTTAGGGGGAAAAATATATCTTGTTCCTTTTGTCTACAAAAAAGAATAAACAAAATATATATTCTATATAGAACAAGGTGGAATAACTTTAATAATGGCCCAAGATGAATAATCCAATATGAAGACTTTTCAGCTATTTCTTCCCGTATCTGTCTGCCTAACCTCTTAAACTATGAGATAGTTCAACTTTATGTGTCACCATAGCAAAAACAATACTTATCAACTATAAATAATGAACTTTACTAATGAAATGCAAAAAACACTAGTTTTATTTATATTATAACCTTGATGTCTACTGAGTAAGATGAATGACTTTACGTTTGGGGTTTTTTTAAAGGAAAAGAAAGGCTAGTATACCTTAAATATTCATTTGTAAGACTCAATGACAAATACCTTTAGCTTCAAAGCATTTGAGACTTGGTAGAACTGACTTACTTGGTTTGGGGTGTTTTTGTTTCATTTAGTTTTAAATATGTTTTTTATTGATTTTCGGGAGAAGGAGAGAGAGAAATATCAATGTGAGAGAGAAACATCGATAGGTTGCCTCTGGGAATCCAACTGACTGCTTTTTGGTGCACGTGACGAAGCTCAACCAACTGAGCCATACCGGCCAGGTGGACTTACTTGTTTGATTAACTCCAAATATGTAAAACACCCCAAACACAATCTTCAAGTCTTCTTTCTCTCTTGTTATCTTTTTTGCCCAGGCGGAGTAGCATCATTACGGATTATACATGGTTATAAATAGAATGGCATCAGCAATTAGTACTCTGAATGTTTCTAGTTAGCAAAGGTTTAATAATGTGATGTTATTAGCCCTCCCACCCTTCAGAGACCGGTCCCGAGTGCTCAGCCACTATTCCTACCCCAGGTGAATGATGAGGGAAGGTCCCTGGTGTTCCACAAATAGTCATTAAACTGTTGCAGCTGGTTGCACTGGTAGCAAAAAGAAAAAAATGCCCATGCGTGCACACGCACACACACACACACACACACACACACACACACACGCACATACAACACCTGGCCAAGTGATGATGACCACAAACATCAAAGGAATTTTAACAACAATTTTTGAGCACTGGCACTAAGATTAGCACTTGATTTATTTAGACATTATCCTGGTCCTTTTGCATTCATCTGTAGATATTTGGGGGATGGAGATGGGTTATGGCAGACTGTAAAAATAATCCCTTAGCCTCAGCTTTATTCAGACCTATACTGACTTTAGGGATGAGATGTGCAGAATGCAAGGTTAGGTTCCTGTCTAATATTGCAAGGTTAGGTTCCTGTCTAATATTTAGTGACTAACAAAATGTAAAATACAATTTTTAATTTCAGTGACTGGTTTCAAAATGTCTGTTTAGTTTAATTTAACTTGTATATTGTTCAAAGACATCTCGGTTCATGGCTACAAAGTATCAGACAAGCTATTTCTCAGCTCAATGTTCAGAAAAAATTACTATAGTTGATAAGCCTTTTCTTTTTTCCTATTAAACAAATCTCTGTTTTGAACATTCCAGACATTGTTTCATGGTGCCTTGCCACGCATTCTTCTTAACCTAAGCTATTCTATCAACCACCTCATCCACTCTGCCCAACACCCCATTGGCACCCTCACCTTTGCCAATGGGTTACAAAGCCTATGATCATTGGGAAATGATCCAGAAAGAGCCTCTCAAAACACAGAATCTTTCTGTTTCTTCTCAATGAACCAAGAAGAATCAGGGAGACCCACCTCCCAGGGGCAACTGAAAAGATAAGGTTAGAGTGTGGGAAAATTTCACACAGTAGAAACGCTGCTCATCCTGAAGAATTATGCACTATATTTCAAGATAACTAGCTCTCTATGAGCCCACTGACCAAATAAAAACCCAGGCAGGAAGAAAGCACCAAAGTCACAGAGATCTGAAAGCCAGACCAGTGTAGGAACTAAAAACACTTGTCACTCATACATAGGGGGACAGAGAAGGAATCCACCAAACACCACAAATAGCCAAGGTAATGAGGCAGCTCAGAAAGAAAAGAAAAATCTCCAGAAAATAAACTTCTAAAGACATGGAAATGTGTGATTTGAATGACAGAATTCAAGATCACAGTTCTGCAAAAAAACTCCGAGTTACAATACAAGAAAGACAGAGAGGCATTTTGATGAACTCAGAAATAAAAACCAGTGAACAAAACGAGTACTTACTATAGAGGTTGAAACTTTAAAAACGAACCAAATAGACATTTGTGGAGAGCGGCCACAGTGTTTGGACAGGTTCAAGCCTCAGACTGAGAGGGCACAGTCCTCTCATGGCCACGTGCAAGTCCCAGCTTGGAGGGCAGAGCCCTCCCAGCACAATTATAGCCAACAGCTGTAGTTGTAAGCTTGAACCTATGGTCTGAACATGTGGCCCCACGTGCCTGAGTGATGTGGGCTTGATAGAGTTCAGGTGCATGTAATTGAGTAGATTCGAAACCCACGAGAACGTTGTAACCACGCCCTTATTTTGCCTCGTGGAATCTGGCTATTAAATAAAGACACGGCTTGTAGTCCGTGGTGCTGTCACTAGCTCTCTATCAGAGAGGACAGCGTCCCACCCAGCTTTTTTCTCTTGTCTGTCCTTTCTCAATCCTTCACCACCCCCACTCGGGCTCACCGAACCCAGCTGAGCTGGCGTGGCACATAAGGCGCCCAGCGTGGGGCTGAGTATGCCATGGCTGTGCAGGCTCGCCACAGACATCCTGGAGATGGAGAACTCAATAAAAGAGGTAAAGAATGAACTTGTGAGGGGGGGGAAAAAGGAAAGAAAGCACCAAAATCAATTTAATTCTCATATCATTTATTTCTGTCATAAAATTTTCAGACTTTAGAAATCCTGCACCTCTGCCATTTTGTCTTCTGTGTGAGAAAAGGAGGGCCCTCAGAAACCGTGGCTTGTCTAAAGTAGTAGAACCTAGGTATTCCGATTTCCAGTCTGCAGACATTTACTTGGTGAACGTAGAAAGCTTTCTGGTGTTTGATGGCAGGTTTGTTCAACAACAGACCCAGTACCTCCCGGAGGTAAACTGAGCCTCAAGAACATTGGAGGCCTGAGGGAAGATGCCCCTTTGTCCTCTGGTGGCTGGAGGATTCAGCGATCATGTTGCAATTTGTTCTGTGGGAAATTCTTTGGGGAAGTAATTATTGCTCCGATTATATGGTGTGTGACTTTTCCCGAGGTAGCTTGGCGTATTTATTTTATACCGGTATTATATGAAACGAAGGCACAATTTAAAAGACCTTGACACCTTCCTGAAGCTTACAGACAAAACCCACTACCCGTCAGGTCAATTTCTTTTAGTTTTATCTGGCCAGTCTCCAAAACAAAAACATTGAAAAAGGTTTTTACTTTGAAATCTGTTCTATTCATCTTGTTGGAATAATACATAGCTGTTTGGAACATCTGCTCTACCTTCCAGATGAAGAAATGAGACACATATGGGTCTCGCAACCTCTCCTTTGGGTGGGGAAGCTGCAGGAGGCCCATCCACGACACAAAGGAGCCTAGTTCAGTCAATGCAGCTGGCAGCCAGGGTGGCCTTGTGCCCAGGCAGGATGGCATGTGCCTAACTTCATACTTATCTGTTCCATTTTCTATTGGAAAAAGTTTTCCGATAGAATCGCATGTCCCTTGGTGGGAGGCTTCCACAGACCCTGGGCAGTCACCTGCTGCTGGCTCACCCACGTGTGCCACAGCCCCTCCATCTGTGATTGTGCACTTGCTCCCAAATTCTTAGTCTCCAGCCACACAGGCTGTAAGAGGAACACACAATGTAGTTTAGTTCTCTAACTTTTAAGGAGTGTACGAGTGTGGGTCTAGGGCACACCTCCCCGGTGTTTAAGGAACTGATATTTGAGCCTTTGCTAAACAGTGAAAGTCTTGGAGCGAACTGTACCTGGGCACAGGTGACCGTGTTCTGGGCCTGCCTGCTGTTTTCTAGACACATGCGTATGGAAGGAATAACTGCAGCCCCCAGATCTCCCAGGTCTTGCAAACTAAAACCTTAAGGACACACATTCCTTGTCCCTTGCCTGACCTCTCTTTGCTCCCTTCACCAGGAAGGCTCTGATGGCAGCTGGGGAGACGGAGGAGAGGGACAGAGGGAGAGAGTGGGAGGGAGAGAGGACTCATGCCTGATGGATCCCATTAGGCTTAGTGTGCAAAGCAAGTTGAGATGAAGTAGCTGCTCTGGTATGCGTCCAAACTGCTGTTCTATTTTTAGTTTCTCCCACGTGCTTCTTAGCCCCACATTGTCCGCCTGGGCACCTGGATCGGCAGCAAAATGTGGAACTGAGCCACTCATTTGTAAGTCTGGAAGGAAGGAGGCCATTGATGCAGGGCTTGTTTATCGCTGACAG